AGACAGAGTTTTGTCTTACTAGACGGAAACATGACTGCAAAACTCTAGTCAACCGACTGAAAAGTGTTACATATTAACACAAGCACACACATACTGTGCAATCTAATGTAGCTGTGTGAAGTTGTCATCCTATTTACTCGGAGCTTGGAGCTTAGTGAGCCATTACCAGCCTTGTTAGACTCATGAATAACGGCCCGTGCACACGGCGGTGTGCGTTGAAGCTTCAACGCTTCTGCCCGTTCACTTTGAATGGGGTGACGTCACGCTTCGCCGAACTGCATTGTGGGAGCGTCGGTACGCGTTGCTCGCTGCAAAAGTTGAGCAATGTTCAACTTTTGAAGCTTTGACGGAAGCGTCAGCCAATCGAATCATATGCCAGTACAAGCTCTAGCCAATCAAACCGCGTGCTTGTGTGTCAGGGGCGGGAGATTCATGTGATTGGTTGTTGGTCGAGTTTCAGACACGCCCACCGGCAAGCTTCAATGCACGCCGCCGTGTGGACGCTGCGTAATGAGTAAAGAATCTCGCAGCAGTGACCTAAACTGTGCATGGTATAAAATCTAGCCCTCTGGAGGGGTGGTGCATACATATTAACCCCCAAATCACCCAGTCCACAGTTTATGTAAAAGTGTATCTGAGCCTGATTTGCCATGTTTTCACAGCATGACATTCTGACTGAGAAAAGTATAAATTAAGCAAATAATTGTTCCACACTGCTAGAAAGGCAAAAAAAGCAAACAAAGAGCTAGAAAAGCAGGCATCTGAAAGAGCTGAGATCATAATAGAGTGAGCCAGTTATAATAAATATGCATGATTATGTAAACAGGACATGAGTGATTATCCTGTCCCCCCCAGATTTTCCTGATGAGAGGGATTCAGGAAAGGAACATCTCTCTTTTTCTCACCCTTTTTTATTCTTCTCCTCAATCTTGTGAGTCTTAGCCTTCTACGACCTGAACCCATCACTCATCCTTTACTGCGTGATCAAATTATAAACGAGGATGCATGTTTTTGCCGTCCTGTAACAGAAACACGTTTCCACATCTTAGCACACCTAACCAGTAGAACATAAATATAGTACCCTTCTCAGGAAGTCCCCTGAGTTTTGAAGGGTGACCTGAGATCACGTTTACAATGTAACCCTAAAGGCACAGACACACCAGGCCGATTATCGGCGTTGGTGGGCGTCAGGCCGACGATGAGCGTCAACACGCCCTGCTCAGATTTATTTTCAGCCGGGCCGACGCCTTTTCGGCCAAAGGGAGTCGGCAAAATAAATCACTCTGATTGGCTGTTCAGCTAGTGAATCAGTGCATGAGAAGCGAAACGGAAGTGAGGGCCCAAACAAACTATTAAGAAGGCAAATCTGAGATTTCATTTAACTCCAGCTCTCGACACAGGTTCGGGAAAGCCCCATGAGCTTCTCGCTGTAGAGAGAAAGTGGAACGCACACGCTATTTGTTGTTTGTTTATATCACGTAGTCTGTTCTTCTTCTCTCGGTTATCACGCAGTCTGTCTTCCGGTTGTTGCCTCTTTTGAATGACGACTACACACTACCGCTGCCTGCTGGTAAGGAGAGTTATTGCCACTCACGCATGCGCAGTTCGTACGTGCTTCTTGGCCGTCGGCCGAAGTCTTTGCGGTGTGTTCCAGTGTGACACATGGCCAAAACGCAGAGACTCGACGCGACGCAACAGTCGGGGTCCGTCTGTGTCAGTTCTTTGTTGTCAGATTGGTGTGTCCGGGCCTTAAGGTTGATAGCAGAAAATGTTGCCGATCAATCTTCCTTAACTATTAGTGATCAATTCCCAACCTTATTTATTCAAAATCAATACCTAACCCATTAACATGTGTGGTCGGTGCCTTACTTTAATCAGTTCCTTGTATTACCTTATAGACACGACTTTACAGCACATCACGGAAATAATCAAGAAAGCAGTGGAGTCAGAAACTCCAGCAGTATGTCAAATATCATAACTCACAGGGTTATAGTCACAAACACTTGCCAGTAAGCGTCAGCAGGTGTTCATGGATTCTGCATTAGCCACAATTTCACTTTCACTTCATCAGAAACACATATCCATTTTTAATGATGGAACGGAATATAAATTGCTCCAAATGGCCTTCATAATCGCTCGCTCATTTCATCCTCAACTCTGATCCTTATGTCACTTCCAGTGATTTGTTATTTGGTTAGCGAGGGAACGACACCAGGAAAAGTTAAAAATGCTTTTACATCCACCCCATATCTCTACTTGCCTTTGACCGTCTCATATTTCATTGTTTTTGTGTTCCCTGTAAAGGTATTCATTCATCTAGCCCCCTCATAAAACCTTGCCTCTCTGTTTTCATTTCCCTCGTATCATTTGTTTGGCTGTGAAAGCATAGTACCTCTTTTTGCTTCTTCCAAAAATGTACATGTCGATCCATCTGCCTTTTCCTAAAGGAGGCCAACTGTTAACATTCACTCACAGAAGGTAAAACTGAACAAACACAGACGCTTAACTACCGTTCCCCAGACGACTGAGTGTGAGAGTATTTTAGGGATTGTGAATCTGTTCACAGGCCATGCAAAAGCATCAGCGATTTGGAGCCATGTGTTAATATTTGCTTTTGTAAAGCATTGATTAACACACATATCACATACAACCTTGGTTCCATGAACATTTTAATTTATAAATCAATGTATAATATAATATAAACACATAATTTTTTCAAGGCTTCAAAGACTTCGGCCAAAGATACAGGATTAAGACATTCCTCATCTATAAGCTACTAAAAAGAATCTTCCATTAAGCAACGTTTTTCAAAAGGGCAAATCGACATGTCTCTTGAATCAATTTAATAGATGACTCTCCTTCTAATTTACCTCAAGAGAATGAAAGAGGGGGCAAAACTCTGCAACTCAACCTCATGAATGCTAATGAAGTGAAATAAATCATTACAAGAGAGGTTGAAGGTAGAAAATGACGGGACTAAATGGGCCATTCATTATTGAAGAGCATGGTGTCACTGTGTTTTCTCTCATTTGACATACATAGAGATGGAGATGATAGAGATTATATAACAAGCTTTTAACTGTGTGTGATTTCAAGGCCAGCACATTATGGATAGTGCTGTTTATTGACATGCACTCAATTTCAAGCCTTAAATAACTATGCTACAGCATATAAATGTTGCATAATATAAAAAATAAATATAGTAATCCTTTTTTCCCCCTTTTGCACAAGAATCATCCCGTCATATAAAATGACACAAGCCACCGAAAGGTGCATTTTGTGCATGACCTGCAACCAAACATCATTTTTTAGCACGCAAAGTGTTTGTGCATAACAGCTATCTGTCGGTGTGTGACTTGAACTTCTTATCAGCCAGATAGAAGATTGTTTTGGCTCCTATTCTTAAACTGTGTATCTTCCCTTCATGTATCCCTCCTGCAAACACTCTTCTCTATCCTTCAGTCATCTATCCATTTAGCCAACAGCTCTCCTTTGAATTTCAACCCAAGTTTATGCAAATGACATGTGTTGCAGTTGTCTCTTGCACTTGACATGCCCTGTCCATTCATAATTTTCACCCATCTGTCCACAAATGGCTCTCAAACTGCACAATGCTCAAACATTGAAATTCTCCCATTAGTCTAGCAGGAAGGACCCTCAGATTTTGAGATACCCCTACCCGAGGTAGAACAAATGACAACAATTATTTTTCTTATCTTTAGGGTCTCCCATTAATGAAATTGATTGTTGTCAAATTTTACTTTGGGGGAAAAAATGTTTTTTGGGTTGTTCTTTAGAACTACCCAAATCCCTGAAAAAGAGCCAAATTAGACTAGGCCGAATGTGGGAAAGGTGACAAAAAAGGCCATAACTTCAGAATGACCTCTCTTATCCTCTTTAGATTTGCTGAGGTATGAACCAGGTGGCTGTCCTACATCACCAAATAGTCAGACAATTATTTAACTAAAAAAATACTGAATTATAGTCCTGTAAACTTAGCTTTAGTTTAGACGGAAATTGTACTTTTTGGTGATAGGAACATAGGACTCAATCACTTTTCACTCCTTGGACTGTAAATTGTAATAAAGATCATAGATATATTGAACTGTAGAGTGTCTTAATAAACCTACTTAACATATGGACATGAAACTTAATTCCAAGGTCAAAGGTTATGTTGTACATGATAAATGTGGATACAAAATCTCACGAACGTTAAATCTTGTTATGTGAAATAACATAACCCAATGAGAATAAGATGATAAACCACTACATCAAGCTGTGGAGGACTCATAAAGGGGAGAGGTTTATACACTTGTAGTCTCACTCGTAAGATTGAATATCCGGGATAATACTGGTGCATAGGGGTAGACTTCAAACTGACATAGTTCTCTTCTTCCATTCGGGATACAGATTCTTTAGATTAACGTTATCTTTGACGATGGTCTATAAAGGTATGTGATGATCAATCACAAGTTATCGTGGGATTCTGTTAAACGGTCATTACGTGTAAACAAATCCCTAAAGACAAAAAAGA